CTCTGTGTCTCTGTCCCTGCAGGATGAGACGTTTGTCCTGTTTTTTTCATCACTGCGTCTCTGTCCCCACATGATGATATGTTTGTCCTGGTTTACCCGTCTCTCTGTGTCTCTGTTCCTGCAGGATGAGACGTTTGTCCTGGTTTACCCGTCTCTCTGTGTCTCTGTCCCCACATGATGATATGTTTGTCCTGGTTTACCCGTTTCTCTGTGTCTCTGTTCCCGCAGGATGAGACGTTTGTCCTGGTTTACCCCGTCTCTCTGTGTCTCTGTCCCCACATGATGAGACGGTTGTCCTGGTTTACCTGTCTCTCTGTGTCTCTGTTCCCGCAGGATGAGACGTTTGTCCTGTATGACGCTGCTGCTGCTCCTGGTCTTCACACTCACAGCTGAGGCCAACAGAAGATCCAAACATCACAAAGGTGAGATCTTCAAACAGAACCTGTCCTCCAGAACCAGCAACTGTGCTGACGTGTCCTCGTCCTTATCTTCTTCTTCTAATTTTATTCTTGTCCTCTTCTCATTATTTTTCACCTCCTCGTGGTCCTCAGTGGTCCTCCTCCTCCCTGCAGCTCCATGTTCAACATAATTTGTCCAACATGTCCACTGTCCCTGTCCCTCCTCGGCATGTGTCCAAACCATTGCAGGCTCAAACTTTGTCTCTAAATCTGAGCTGTCCCTCTAGTGGACTCATTACTAACTCTGTTCATCGTGGTCCCTCCCAGTGAAGAACTTGTCCTCCTGTCTCTGTTAAACACCATCTCCAAACCCAACATCAGAGCAGGTCTCGTCTCCTGAACCCTCTGCTGTCCTTCTGTCACAAACTGTCTCTGTCCGCTCTTCACCTTTCCATCTTGAATGAGTTCAATCCATGAGCCAGTTGTGATCATCAAGTCTGATTCATCAGGAGGACACAAAGAGGTTTTCTGTCTTCAGTTGGTTTTTGGACTTCATGCAGATGTTTGCTTCGTCTTGTTGGAGGTTTAAAGAAAGAAGAGAAACACTGAGCGTCAGTGAGCAGAAGACAGATTCTCCTGAAAATATGGAACCAGGGTCTGGATGGAGAACCAGGGTCTGGATGGAGAACCTGGGTCTGGATGGAGAACCAGGTTCAGGGTGAACAACCTGGGTCTGGGTGGAGAACTTGGATCAGAATGGAGAACCAGGGTCAGGGTGGAGAACCAGGCAGATGTTCTAGAGAAGTTGTTTTCTAAGCGGATCAGGTGAAGAACGATGTTCCGCATTGTATTTTTTTTATCATTTTTAATTTTCAGATCAGAGGACCAGGTTAGAAGCGCAGGGATCAGTTTGGGTCTAGTGTTTCTGTAACGGTTCTGAGGGACTGAGGACGGTTCAGAAGAACCTGGTGTCCTAGTTTGGTTCTGGTCCAATAAAAGGAGTGTGACCGTTTTTCTGCTCTGCAGGTGGAAAACACGAGAAGTCTCGACCCGCCTCGGAGTGTTCTGCTGCAGAGACCCGGTACGGGAAATGTGTCCCAGAACACGGTGACTGTGGAGACGGTCTGAGGGAGGCCACATGTCAGGACCAGACTGAGAAGATCCACTGCAGGATCCCCTGCAACTGGAAGAAGGAGATCAGTAAGACCCGCACAGAACCGAGCCGCACCTCAGAACCAGAGACCAGGAAACTTTACTGATCCTCAGCAGAACTCCTGACGAGTTCTGAAAGAGTCCAGAATCTACAGATTTAAACTTTGAATTTATTTAGATTGTGGCGCCACCTGGTGGCCAAAGTTTGTAAAACTGAACAATTTGACCCCAAAGATGCAATCAATAAAAACAATTTAATTAAATAAAACATCAATAGATTAATTAAATACATTTTTTAAATAAAGTAATTTGATATAAATTATATAATTACAAACTAAATTTGTACATAAAAATGAACATAGTTTGCTTAAAAAACACATATAAATAAAATAATGTACAAAATAAAATCTAAATGAATAATAAAATACAAAATGAGAAAATTAAGAAAATTGTTAAATAAAAAAAATAGAACTGAGTAAAATAAAAAGAGCAAATAAATAAAATAAAATAAAATCTGTTGGTTTCTCTTCATGTTTAAATTTGTGGTCCCAAGAGTTCTGGACCGTCTGAACCAACAAGACCCGACCAACAGAACCGAGTCAGCCCTGAAGACTCAAACCAAACAGATTTTACTTTAAAACAAGTTTAATGAAAAGGTAATATGGTTCAATTTGTTGAAGTTAAGTTTTTACAGACACTGACCTGTCCCTGAAGGCAACACGAGTCTGAGACTCTGTTTATTTCTTGTATTGTTGTTGTTTTTGTTGTTATCATGTTTGTTTTGAGCAGAAATCTGAACCAAACCTTTGGTTCTGACCCAGTTTGATGATGATGGGACACAACATGAACCCAGACATCACAACAGCTGATCAGAACCAATCAGATCCCTGATTCAGTTCTGTTGAATCATCAGAACCTTCTGGTCTCTCGTTAACTTGTGGACGTTCTGTTCTTCAGGTGACTGCAAGTACAAGTTCGGCCCGTGGAGTTCCTGCGACAGCACCACCAACACAAAGACCCGGTCCGGAACCTTGAAACGAGCTCTGTTCAACGCTGAGTGTCAGACCACCGTCAGGGTGTCCAAACCATGTTCTCACAAGGCCAAGAAGGTCAAAGGTAAGAGCAGAACATCCGGATCGTTGGGTTCCTGTTCACTCAGACCCTGAAGGTTCTTCATCAGAACCTCCTGTTCTGAGAACATAATCCAGATGATTCTAAAGAACCCTGCAGAGATGAGTTATTAAACATGGATAGTTGTTTATTTATTTATATAAAATCTGAACCTGAAGCATTATTCTGCTCTGAACTCACCTGTCTGTCTCACCTTCATGGGCTCTGGTCTTACCTGTCTGTCTGCACTCTGTCTCACTTTTATGGGCTCTGGTCTCACCTGTCTCACCTTTTTATGGGCTCTGGTCTCACCTGATATGGGCTCTGGTCTCACCTGTCTCACCTTTTATGGGTTCTGGTCTCACCTGTCTCACCTTTTTATGGGTTCTGGTCTCACCTGTCTCACCTTTTTATGGGCTCTGTTCTCGCCTTTTATGGGCTCTGGTCTCGCCTTCATGGACTCTGGTCTCACCTGTCTATGTGTCTCAATTTTATGGGCTCTGGTCTCACCTTTTATGGGCTCTGGTCTCACCTGTCTCTCTTTTATGGGCTCTGGTCTCACCTGTCTCACCTTTTTATGGGCTCTACCCCATAAAAGAGAGACATGTGAGACTAGAGCCCATAAAAGGTGAGACAGGTGAGGGCAGAGCCCATAAAAGTGAGACAGAGTGCAGACAGTCAGGTGAGGCCAGAGCCCATAAAAGGTGAGACAGGTGAGACCAGAGCCCATAAAAGGCGAGACAGGTGAGACCAGAGCCCTTAAGAGACAGGTGAGAGCAGAGCCTCACCTGTCTCACCTTCATGGACTCTGGTCTCACCTGTCTTATCTGTCTCACTTTTATGGGCTCTGCCCTCACCTGTCTCACCTTTTTATGGGCTCTGGTCTCACCTGTCTTATCTGTCTCACTTTTATGGGCTCTGCCCTCACCTGTCTCGCCTTTTATGGGCTCTGGTCTCACCTGTCTCACCTTTTATGGGCTCTGGCCTCACCTGACTGTCTGCACTCTGTCTCACTTTTATGGGCTCTGCCCTCACCTGTCTCACCTTTTATGGGCTCTGCTCTCACCCGTCTCTTTTATGGGCTCTGCTCTCACCTGTCTCTCTTTTATGGGCTCTGCTCTCACCTTTTATGAGCTCTAGTCTCACCTT